GACAGAGTACACAGAGAAAAAGAAACTCAGGGAGAACGAGAAACGTGATCCCAAGATTAGTAGGCAAGAAGAAATTTCAAGATTTGTAGATAACAAAGAAGTCCCAAGGTTTATGGAAACATTAGGAAATCCTGAGTTTGAAGGGAGCAAGAAACACGCAAAGATGAAGAGGCAGGCGGTCCTTTAAGTTTCCAAAATCATACGGAGGTATTTTAAGAAAGTAGCTGGGCACGAATAACGATCATATTATCACTTTCCATATTAAAAGAGCAGCTCAACGATAATAAGATAAGCTCAGACAAAAGTAGATCTACCCAAGAATGTGTTCTTCAGCCAGATATAGGCAGAGCTCGGGTATGGAAGTAACTAGGGAAAGAGCTCCTACACAAAAAGAAGGTTGAACTCCCCATCTCATTAAGGTTGAGCTCTCCACAACTCAAGGGAATATAAAGCTTCTCAACTCATAAGAATGAACCCTCCAAAATTAAGGCCTAAACTACTAAACTCTACAGACCTTCAGCTCTTCAGCTATTCAACTTGTCCAAATGTAGCAAATCTACTTCAAGAAGAACAAAGTTCTCCTTGAATTAGGGGCAAAGAAGAGTAGGCAGAATGGAAAAGCAAAACAGTCAAAAGAGCACAAGGGCACCAACAAGACAAAAACATTTACATAAAAAAACATTTACATTTCTTCTTTATTTTCTTATAAAGAGCTAGTTCCAGAGTTCTTTTTCAAAAAAAAAAAAAAAGAAATAAGCAAAATAAGAACAAAGGTCCTAAGCACCGCCAGTCAAATTTGGAATCACTCTAGGTAGCTCGAAAAGCTCTAAGGCAGCAGGTGGAGGAAGTTTAATAGAAATTTCATAGGGTCCTGGAATATCTACAGCCTCAACAAATAAAGGAGCAGCAGGAGCTCCAGGCAGCTCAGGAAACCCAAGGGAGTTAGAAACAATAGATGGAACAGAAGAAGATGCAGGAGAATAGACTTCAACTGGTGGAACAGACACCCCAGTTCCCACAGAGGCTGGGACCTTGGCTGATGAAGAAGGAACCTTAGCACCCCCAGGAACGAGCTCAGAAATAGGGGAAACCAAGGCCTCTGCTTCCTTCTCAATGCTGGACTCATCCTCCTCCTTATCCAAAGAAGATCAAATTCAAAGTCCAGGTCTGAGTACTTCTGCATAGCTTGGCCTTGAAATGCAGGATACTCAATGGCCCACTTGGTGGTAATGTCATCCTCCAGTTTGGCAATCAAAGCATCCTTCTCTTTTACAGTAGCTCTCTCAAACTTTAATCTCTCTCCACAAAGTATCATTCACTTCAACTAGAACGTTGTATTATCTCTTCATGGCCACATAAGAATCTAAAGCCTCAAAGGCCTCCTTGCAAGGTTTAAACCAGTCATCAGTTTTCAGCTTGACCTCCTTCTTGGTCTTCTTCACCTCATCCTCGACTTTCTTTTTCTCGGCCTCTAAACCCTTATTAACAGAAGATTGACTCTCCACCTATGCTTGCAGGTCCTGAACTTGAGCTTTAAGATCCTTATTGGAAGCCTTGAGCTCAAAGGCCATTGACGCCTTGGTTGAGCTCTCTAGAGCTCTAATTCGACTCATTAAACCGCTCACATGAATGACCATCTAGGAGCAAATACCACCAAAAGCTAAGGTTCGTACGAAGAAATGATGCAAGATAAAAATTGAACTTGAGAAAATCAAAAACTTTTTGAAGTAGCACTATACAAGGCTGAGGTGACAGACGAAGAGAAAGGCATAGTGGCAGCTCTTTGGATATCAGACTCGGGGATGATTGAGGCAATGGCCCCCTCGACCGCTGTCGATAAAGGAGAGGCTGAAACCGCAGTTTGCTCAGGACCTCCTCCTGGAGAGGAAGGCATGGTCTCTTGAGGAAGTGAGGTCTGTACGACATTTGGTGAGCTCAACAGTGGAGTAATAATCACTTGGGAAGACAGGGTAGGAACATGAGGCATTTCGGACCTTTGCACCTTGGCTAAGGGGCAGAACCACTTCCTGATCCAACCTCAGCTTTGCATTTTTCCCAAGTTTTCCTTAATAGATTAACCTTCACCCTCAAAGCTTTCGAAGTTGGTTCCATTGAGCTAGAACCTGGAAAATCAAAGCAAACAAATCAGAAAGAATGAAGGAAGAAGTGAGATAGAAGTTAAGGATAGAAAGAGGAAGTGTTACCTTCCACTTCCTCTACTCTAGCTACAAAAATGGGGATAGGGGTCTCAACCCTCACCTCTAGAGGATTAAACCCAAATTCGGTAAGCTATTTGGGCTTGACAAGCCCGGAGTATCTCTCTGGCTTGTAATCCTCTAAGCCCAACAGGACTAGTTTATCCTTGACACTAAACTCAGGTCAAATACCCAAAAATCGAAACAAAATAAGTATGTCAGCAAAATAAAGTGTCAAGACTGATCCAAGCTTACTCAGGCCGGGCTTACCCAGATTATCAGGGGTAGACCAAGCCCGAGGCATTGGGAGGGTGTCAACTATATCTCCGTGATTGTATTCTCATTCTCTACCTGACACAAAGAAGAAGAGCTTCTTCCAACGCTTATGGGAGCTCGGGAGGTCAATAATGATAGTTAGGGCTTTTACCCATTTGGAAATATACTTGACATTGAAAACCTTCAAAAACAAAGGCACAGTAGGAACTACAAGTTCATGCTTTTTGAAGAAAACAAGAAGACCCACCAGAATACCCTAAAAATTGGGAGAAAGTTGAGCAGGACCAACGTTGAAATGTTGAAGGATGCTCTTAAGAAAGGGGTGAATTGGAAAACAAAGGACGTTCTCGAAAATGGCCACAAAGAAGCAGACCGTCTTAGGGATTTGGGAGTTATACCGAGTATCTACATTTGGGCACCAATATTGCATACCCCGATGAAAGCCAAATCGAGCCGAAAGGATACTCATGAAAGGAGGGGTGACCTCGCTATGACTCACAATGTCTCAAGCCTGGGGGGTAACCTCAACCTCCTCAGCACTGCCAGAAATCCCAACGCCACTCACTTTAGTCTTTCCTTTCCTAGACTTCTTGGGCACAAGAGAAGATGATGGGGGGAGTTCCTCGGTTTCTTCCCAACTTCGATAGAGTTGACTCTAGGAAAATTATCAATCTCATCACCCACATCACCTAAATCGATGTTCTCCTCCCCAGCAGACCTCTCGACCATGGCAAGAAAGCCCAATGATGCAGTAGCTTTGGAAGAGCCAGACATGACAGGATTGGAATAAGGGAGATAAAAAGAGGAATAAGGAAAAGGAATGTTAGCAAAACAATACCTGAGAGTCGAGGGGTTAAGACACCAACGACCAATGAGAAAAATTCTAGCAATGGAGTAAGGGTCCAGAAAGAGGCAGGAGAGGACAAGAAGTAGCCTCGATTCCTAAAGTAGCAAAATCGAAAGGTCAAAAAATGCAACAACCACCTCGGATTCAATATAATCCCAAGGAACAAGAGACTCCACTGAAGAGTAGATTAACCGAACTCTCAAGCTGGTGAACTACTATAACTTCTCTGTGCAACCCCCTTTTTCCCTTCTTCCAAAAAGTTACTACATTATTTTCGAGAGTCTCGTAACTCAATTCAGATTCAGTAGTGTACCTAGTCTGATCAATCACGTTTCACACACCATCATTACTCATATAAACTCTCATTTATGATAATTAAAGAGTTTAGTCAAATTCCAACATTTAATCAAAAAATTGAGTAAAGATTAATTAACAATTAGTTTTTTTTTAGTTCAAACTGATGTCACATGAAACCAAAAAAACAAACTACATGTCTCCGATTACAATGATGTATAACAGTTACCATCTGACATTGAGAGTCACAAATTTATTTGTGAACTTAATTATGATGCAATGTCCAGCTATTATGACCTAATATTACATGGACGGAATTAAGACCAAGTGAGATGCATGTTTTACGCACCTTTCTGGAGTGCGGGTGGGGCGGTGTAGGGGTATTATATAATTTTTCTTAGATTAAAAAGAAGGGTAGTCTTCCTACCTCTATCCGCTAATACTGGAAGAGTCAGCTCAACCAAAAAAAAAAAAAAAACTCAACAAACAAAATAGGCTAAATAGCAATGTATTGTAAAACAAGTAAATTTATATAGGTACAAATAACTAACTCAAAAAAAAATAAAAAATAAAAAAGCAATACTGAAAGTGAGAGAAGAGTAGAGAGAGATATTTCATTCAGTGTATCCTTTATTCAAAAGTATAAGACCTATTTATATGCAAAATAAATAGCCTTCTTGCATTGTCGGTAGAAGGCTGGAGAACTCCCATGCCCATTTTATGTGGTAATTATTTATGTATTGTATAATCATGTCCAAATTAATAGTATTTACAACACAATTGGTAATATTTCTTTCTTTTTTATGTCTCAATTTTTTTGTTAGCCTAGTATTATTCAATACGATTATATTGTTTGTGTTTGCACTAATTACATTCAAAGCAGAAAAATATTAGATTCATATTTGAATTTAGATTTGAATTTGGACTTGGACTTGAATTTGGATGAAAATCTATAAAGAAAAAACTAATCATATTCATTAATTGTGTAATTAAGAAAAATATCATTTAGCAACTTAAATGATCAAAAAAAGATTGACATTCAAAAATTCTGATAGAATAGCAATCTTCAAGATCTCGACATTTTCAATCGATTTTGTCCAATTCAACCGTCGCTACTTTTGCAATTGATGACCGACTGTCTCGCTTATCGTCCAACCCATATTTGAACCATCAATAATGTTATTTAGAATTTATTTATTGATATAATTTATTAATATAATTCATCATAATTAACCACCAATAATGTTATTTAGACTTCATTTATTAATATAATTCATCATAATTATTAAATTAGTTGTGAGTCCCAATAAATACAGGAGCTCACTATCAATCAATAGTTATGAGTGATTAAATTAATAAATTAAATCTAAATAACATTGCTCTTTCAACCGGATTGTTGGACCATTTTACATCACGTTCACGAAGTCTCAATCCCATTTTTTTTTTTTGAAAGGAGAAAATTATATTGATAAGTCCAAGATTACAGGAAGCAAAAGCATAGCTTGAACAAAAAGAAAGAGGCTAAAGTTGGCATTAATCCTTCAAAAAAATGAAAAACAGAGGACATTCTACAAAGTGCAGAGACTGCCCAGTACCCACCCTACAAAATGCAACATGCACTGGCAATGAGAACCAGGCAGCATCAGGACCAACAAAGGCGCAAAAGCCTAGAAAATAACTGAAAAACCAGCTGGAGAACCATTAAAACCAGCTGAAAGTTCAGCTGGAGTCCAGCTGAGCCAAATCGTAGAGCACCAGAAGAGCCAAGTCTCAATCCCAAGACTACCGTTAACATATAGTGAAGTAAAGGATAATATTATGGCACAAAAATGTAATTTTTAATTATTTTAAATATTTATTGCTCCTGGATATTGCCATGGTTTATTTATTTATATAGTAGTTGGCCAAAGCCATACAACATGACTCAAATTTCAAATGTTATGTACTCGTCAATGCATAAGCTCATGGTCACCATGTCAAAAGAAAATTTCATACCTAGTGCCTAATATTTCACTTATAACGGGATCTAGGAGAGGTGTGTGGTAAAAACTTTTATCATCATTTTTCCAATTTAATTCACAAACTCGATTTTGATCTTAGCTACAACACTTAAGGGGATGAGTAATTGCCATATCAAGAGGCGGATTTACACGCCGGGGGGGGGGGGGGGGGGGGGAACAATTGTCTCCATTGGAATTCTAAAAATATTTGGGGAGTAAGGTGAAATTTTAGAATCTGGTCAAAGTTGCCTCCACTAAAATTTTTAAAAATATTTGGGGAGTAAAGTGAAATGTTTGAAATTTTAGAATCTCTTAGAAGTTTCCCCCATTGAAAATATTTTAAATTCAAGACTAATAATGTATTTTCTCAAACGTGTGGGGTTCTATAGTCTTTAGCAACAACAAAAAATACATTTACTTTTACTTTTCACAGATCACATTGATTCTAAGAACTTCACTCCTACAATTCTGAATTTGATCTCCCTGATTATAGATATATATATTTTTTGTTGTTCTATTTTTATATGAAAAATTAATACAGAGAATTGCAAGGTTTTAAAATTAATGACATTGTATTTAGAATTTATATGCTATTGACTATTTTTTGGATTATTTTTTTTTTTTTTGGAGGAAGGGGATAGGGAGGGGAAAGTTGAACCCTTGACCTCAAAAAAGCAAAACATTCACAAAATAAAGAGTATCATTGGACCAAAGGTCCGTTGGTCATTTTTTGGATTAAATCATTTGGTTCGATAGACTTGAAGAATCTGATTGTGAGAAATTATGATTGAATCAATTTATTATTGGGGACTATTTTTTTTGATACAAAAAATATTTATTTGGTACAATTTTATAGTGAATTTTTTTTGTCAACTCTTTTTTTATATTGCTTGCATTTATTATTTTGATGAAACAACACTTTTGTAAAATAGTGTTAGTAATCCAAATTTGAGTATTTATATATTGATGGTTGCCCCACTAGAGTTGGAGGCTGACTCCGCCCCTGGCCGTATCCAATTCTAATATATAAATATCACAACCCAAAGGGGGACCTCTCAAGGACGTCAACCCTATTCTTGTTAGTCTAGCTCCCCTTAATAAAAATAAGAGAAATGTTATTTGGACCTTAATAATATATATTCTCATAAAATATAAAAAGTCAGTTTTCTCATTTACTCACAATATACCGCTCTTGTTATTATATAGGAGCAGGTGCAAGAAATAAATAAAACTCCTCAAGTCTGACAGATAAAGTATTTAATTTTTTTTAAAAAGAATAGTAGGTGGTGAATAAGGTACGAATCTTAACCACTCAACCTCATATAATACGACAATTACTAATAATATATAATAGATGATGATGTTTCAAGGGTCATCTTTCTCTCTCTCTCATTTATAACAAATGATGATATTTCAAGAGTCCTGTATTAAACATTTATAATATATAATATAAAATATGATAAATTTTAATAAATTTATTGGATTGTCTCGAATAGACTTATCTAGCGGTCATCAATATTTCTCTTAAAATCATTCATATTCTACCGTATTTTGAGGCACAAATTACCCCTAATAAATTGATACAAGAAAAAACCGACAAGCCTAGTCCGCCAAGAAAGCTTGTCGTCGTATCCTAGAACTAACTTTTGGAGTATTTAATGTGGTTGGTGCTGCAAAATAAATTGCCCTTGCCCAAACGTTTAAACTCCATTGATATATACGTCGGAGTAATAAATTGCTCAAAGTCATAGGATCGAGATCAGAGCATAGTACAATATAAATATAAAAAATAAGGGAGAATTACACTTATATCTTATGAATTTGTCATTTAATCACTCAGATTCTCTGATATTTAAAATATTACATATAAACTCCCGAACTTTATACTTGCATAATACTTATACTCTTGATGGAAGTATATCATTTAATAAATTACATGTACACCTCTAAAAATTTATAAATATATAATACTAGACCTTTTAAGTTTAAAATATTATATTTAAACAAAAAATATTCTAATTAAAAATAAAATATCAAAATATTTTAAATTTTATAACCAAAATTTATTTTTTATTGTATCATTTATTGAAATAAAATCAAAAATAAAAATTCAATTTTTTTAAAAAAAAAAATCATAATTAGTTTATAATTATATTGTCTATTAGAATTTAATTTGGTCATTTAAATAATCAAATTAAATACCAAACTACCCCAATTAAAGCTAAAAGATATTATGTCCATTACAATTTGACCTATTGTTTAATTTTTTTAGTTTTATTCTAATTGATAGTATAATTATATACTAACTATGATTTTTTAAAAAAAAATTATACTTTTATTTTTGATTTTATTTCAATAAATGAAATAATAGAACATGAATTTTAGATGTAAAATTTATATTCTATTATGAGTGACTTAGACCCTTTATTTGATTTTTTAATTTTATTCTAATAGATAGTATAATTATATACTAATTACGATTTTTTAAGAAAAAAAATAATTTTTTTTTAATTTTATTTCAATAAATGATAAAATAGAAAATGAATTTTCGTTATAAAATTTAAAATATTTAATATTCTATATTTTATTAGAGTATGTTTTGTCTAAATATAATATTTTAAATTTTAAGAATCTACGTATTATATACCTACAATAATAGATATATAATAGAATCTAAGTGTAATTTATTAATAAATATATTTACAACAAGGGTTTAAGTGTTATACACGTACAAACTCTAAGAGATTTGTGTGTAATATTTTAAATGTTAGGGAGTCTGAGTGATTAAGTGACAAATCTTAGAAAAAAAAAAAAAAAAAAAACAAAAACAAAGAATAGTTCCACATCAATGATCTCATCATGCGACTCCGATGACAAACTATTTACAGCAAAACTTTGTACTATATATTAAAGCATAGTCGCTCCATATCTACATTCACTTGCCCATCTCTCTCTCTCTCTCTCTCTCTCTCTCCACCATGGAAAACTCAAAGCTTCATGTTGCAATACTTTCAAGTCCTGGAATGGGCCACCTCATCCCTGTCCTTAATCTAGGCAACCGCCTCGTCAACCACCATAACGTTGAGGTTACTATCCTTATTGTCTCAACAACTTCATCACCAGCAGAATCACAAATTCTCAAGTCCACGACAAGCCAAAATCAACTCAATATCATCGAAATCCCACCGGTTGACATCTCAAGCCTAATCGATCCCAAGACAACAATGGTCACACAGCTCTGCATCATGATGCGCGCGGCTCGACCTGGCATCCGGTCCACAATCGCCGCTATGAGACGCTGCCCAGATGTCCTCATCGTTGACTTGTTTGGAACCGAGACTTTTCCGATTGCCGACGAGTTTGGCATGCCCAAGTACGTATATATTCCGACCAGTGCATGGTTTACAGCTCTATCTACATACTGTCAAGTTCTTGATAAAGAAATAGAGGGTGAATACGTTGATCAAAAAGAAGCGCTGAAAATTCCGGGGTGCAAACCTGTTCGACCCGAAGATGTGGTTGACCCAATGCTGGACCGGAACAATCAGCAGTACCGTGAATACGTACGGCAAGGGATCGGGTTCACGATGGGAGATGCGATTTTGTTGAACACGTGGGAAGATCTGGAGTGTACTTCACTCAAAGCTCTGAGGGAAAATGAGATACTACGATCAATAGTGAAGGTACCGGTTTACACCATTGGTCCTTTAAAAAGATCGGCCGAACCGACTGGTTCAAAGAGTCGGTTGATTGAGTGGCTTGACAGGCAACCCAGTGAGTCAGTGATTTTTGTATCATTTGGGAGTGGAGGGATGTTGTCGGCTCAGCAAATTTCCGAGTTAGCCTGGGGGTTGGAGTTGAGCCAGCAGAGGTTTGTTTGGGTGGTGCGTCCACCTACCGAGGGTGGTGCCGATGGGTCATTTTTCACCGTAGGGAACGATTCCGATGGCATCCCGGACTACTTACCAGATGGGTTCTTGACTAGGACCCACAGCGTCGGACTGTTGGTCCCACAGTGGGGCCCACAGATGGAGATCTTGAGCCATCCATCAGTTGGAGGATTTTTATCACACTGCGGATGGAACTCAACTTTGGAAAGCATAGGCAGTGGCGTTCCAATGATTGCTTGGCCGCTGTATGCCGAGCAAAGACTGAACGCCACCATGCTTACGGAGGAGCTGGGCATAGCTATCCGGTCGGAAGTGTTGCCAACAAAGAAAGTAGTGGGAAGGGAAGAGATAGAGAAGATGGTGAGAACCTTAATGCAGTACAAAGAAGGAAAGGCAATGAGAGATAGAGCCAAAGAACTCAAATACAGTGCAGAGAATGCCCTGAGCAATGAAGGTTCTTCTTACAAATCAATTTCCGTGGTCCTTGAGGCGTGCCAGAAGAAATTACTGTCTCGTAACAATGTGTAGGTTTGTTACTGTCTCGTAATCACGTGGTATTGAGTTTGTATTGAATAATATAAATATATTAATGACAACTCGTGTTTGGAAAGCGGTATCGGTAGTTTTTGAATGATTATATTTGAGATTCTCAAATAAATTTATTAAAATTTACTTTGTTTAATTTATAAATTATAAAATTTAATTTATACGCGATTCATTTATAATTTTGTTTAATGGGGTTCGCATTATCCATAGTCAGATTTAGCAGGTTTTGTGTTGTGATTTAAAGATTATGCGTCAATTCAATTTTTTGACGAGTTTAATTAATTCATCCATTTATCATCCTAAGATTCTAAATCTAAATTTAAATTCAATAACATCCTAACATGCCCATTAAATTTTTT